ACAAGTCCTAGGAAGAAGTCGGACAAGAAAAAATTATACAAATATTGCGAATTTTGATGTTCATTTCGTCACATTGTAAATTTTATGGGGTGCCTTTAGACGACAATTTCAGGAGGAAACTAATGGAACCACTTTGATAGAACCTAAAAGTTATGTATAAATGGATTGCATTTTGCGAAAAGGAACCACGAGCATTGCAATGTTGCTGAAACTGTGCAACTTCCTCGGTCTTGGAAAAAACCTAATTATCCATTGACAGTTTCTATTTTACTCGCTGAAAACTGTGAATCTAAGACAAAAATTACCATGTAAATTTCGTATTTTTTCATGATTTCAGTTATTTTTCTGCCAAAGATGAATTTGCACAATCTTAGCATCATTGCAATGCTTCTGGTTCCTTTTTGCAAAATGCAATCCAAATGGAGTTACAAGCTTTTAAAGTTTCCAAATTTTGTCCGAGCTCTTCCGCTGACTCGATACACTGTGCTCCGTTCCGTCCCACCAATTCTAAACCCAAACAATCGGACAAAATACGCGGAGGAGGAGCGATCATCGGTAACCACCTCACGAAGCTGCTAAGTAAGAGCTTCGAGACAATTCGCTCGAATTATATTCAAATGGGCTCAAGGGGAGTTTGACGTGGAAATCCGAGTTTCGGGATTCCTTCGAAGGCCGCGTTCCAACCTGCCAATCAATAAGTCAAGCGGGTCGCAGATGGTATTCCAGCCCCCGAAATTCGTCCGCGCCACTCAACTCCCTCGGTGCTGGAACTCATTTTAGTCAAACGAATGCTCTGGCCGAAGAAAAATGCTTGTTTCCCTTTCGGATCGACGCGCTCAATCCTTATTTCGGGACCTCGAGGAGGTTGCCCAGTCGTGTCAGTAAATAACGAAATCCACTATCGAGATGTTCGTGGTTTTAACGATTTTTATCGAAGTAAACATCGAAATTCATTTTCATATTGGCTTGAAGTCTTCTCAGCCTGCGGCTCAATTGTTGAATCGATATCACAGCAATTTTGCAACACTGTCTTTTTCCATTTAAACCTGTGTTGAATAATCGATTCTTGTCGGAGCACCTGGCCCCTCCAAGAATTGATACATTTCCATATGTTCAAATGAGGAAAAAACAACGTTGCCAAATTTCTGGATCCGCTAAGGATTGATATCGAATGATCATGATCGATAAAAAGCATCGCCAAGATAGGGATATATCGATCAGGATCATTCGATAACGATTCAACTATCGACCCGTTGGATAAAGTCCAAAGCGGTCTAATGAACGATAATCACATCTGCACTGTGTGTTATCGCGATATTTTGTGTTCGCCTTCATTTACGAGTGTATGCAATACAAATTCCTAGACGTTAGAGTAGTGGTGTTAAAATCTAATGGAAGTCGCAAAGGGACGCGTTGAAAATCTCCTAAATGTTTGATAATGACCTCGAGAGTGCGGGTTAGAACTTGAGTACCACTGCATGGTACATTATGTAAGAACATTATTTGAGGGGCTTGGCGGACAAGACGCATAAGTGCAGTTTTTGAAAAAATTGAGACATTAAGTATTTAAACTAAAACTATAGTCTGAAAATGTAAGCCGTGAAAATTTCACTTCTGAGATACAGTTTTTAAGAATTCAAAAGTGAGTTTGATCGTACTTTCCATCATAAGGCTCCATATAATTTTGAAACTTCAACACGGTTTTTTTTAATGGCACTAAGCAAGAACATAAATTTAAGGTTAAAAAAAAGGAAAGTACAACGAATTTGAAGAGTAAATTGAAAAACTGAAATTGAAATTTACTGTTTGAAAAAAAAATCCCATCCAAATGAATGATTATCATCCACTTTTAAATGTGGCAGCTGTGCAATTATTTTTCCAAAATATTCGGCAACGTCGTATTCGAAATGAGGATGAATGTAGGGGCGAGAGGTAGCAGGGGTTAAACAAACCGTCGAGTAAACATCTTTGAGGAAAGTAAATACTCATCTTGTACGTCGCGTCGGTGATCTGGAGTCTCAAATATCAGGTCGTTTACACAGAGCCCCATCTCCGATCGTTGCACCGCGATCAGCATTCGTTTTTCTTTCTCGAGAGGACCTGCTCTCCTCTCAAAGGCCGTCGCGTCGGCCGACCTTTCCTTCAACACCGCGACTCTGAGGCATACACGAACTCGTGCCCAAAGAAAACCCGAAATTCCACGGACAAGTGTCATTTTGGTCGATTCGGCGATCGTCCTTGAAATACTCTAATCCCTCATCCCGTGGAAATTGAAGATGGAGGGCTGCTAGGATTAGCAAAATAAAACAAACATTCTTTAATCTGACTGAGGCAAGCGCAGAGTATCGGTAGGTGTAGAGACTCCAGCATAATCAGAATCACTTTGCTTCCTGATGAAATGCAATAGGAAGGACTCGTATGTTGAGTGACATTTTTGTGAACCATGAGATATTGATTATTTGAAGTAGAGCAACCGCCCAAAACTCCATTTTTTTATATTTTTTTTACAAAATTATTACTTCATTTTGAAAACATTTATATTTTTAAAACGTGACAAATAATTATAAACTCTATTCCAAGCGATGGCATCGATATTACTCTCAATGAGCCGCAGTTGTGCCGAAAGAAACTGCAAAAATGAATAAAAGAGGGGAAAAAACCAAGAATCACGCAATCTTTAGTTTTAACCCATTTGTACATCCATCTTTTAGAGTCAAATACGTCAAATTTTAAGCGTTTGGTTGCGCGTACACCTCGCTGCAAGCACAGTAAAAGTACAAAATGTAGAAGAAAAAATTAAAGTGCTTTGGAAATCATTAAATTTTACACGAAACCACCAATCTTTCAAAAACACATATTATATTATCATTCTCCTTTGATAAATTGATGCATTTTTCTTTCCGTCAATTTAAATGAGAATAATCGATGCAGAGTGTGTAAACATTTCAAAATCGGCATGAATTAAAAAACGCTGACTATGCGAGTATAAATATCAGAGCCTAACAGAGCGAAGCGGCGTGCTGCCAGCGTGAGAAGCTCACTGGCGCCTACAAACCTAAGTGGATACTTCACGCACTGCACAATGCTTGAAGTATCCACTTAGGTTTGTAGGCGCCAATGCGCCTCTCACGCTGGCCGTTCGCCCGCCGTGCGGCGGCATGCACCTGAAGGAACTATTTCACAACTGAGGTGTTGCACAGTATTATACGAAATTGAACGTATTAAGAGTGACAGGCATCCTTTAAAAGAACAGATCTTTCCTCGCAAAATAAATCAAGATACTCATCGCACACAGGAAAAATCTAGGAGCCTTTAGCTGAGACAAATCAAGAGGTTCATCCGGTTCAGGTATAACGAGGTGGGAATTTTTTGAAAGGTAATTAAGTCCTGTTGTACCAAAGAGGAGTAGAGAGTTTTGTCTCATGGAATTGACGCTCCCTCATTTTTACCAAAAATCTCAATTATATACTATTCTCCGTGGGACCAAACAAATAAAAAAAACAAAAAAAAAAAAACAAGCAAATCCTCATTCTTCCAAGACACCATACATTTTCATCCAAAAACGTCGTGAGTAATTGTAGTTTGTATTTACATGTGGACCAATTAACTTTGGGTCTCAACTGGCACGTGTGAACCAAAACTCCCGTGCCCGAAAAACGCAAGGACGTAAGTTACTGGAAAAAACAGGTGCGCGGACAAAAAATCGTTGACGAAATGTCCTTTGTATTGTTCATTATTAAGAAAATTCGTCGTTCCTTTGTTTTATTCTCGTATTTTAATGCAGTTTTCAACAGTGTTCAAATAACTCGTTAAATAAGGGGGAAATTCTGTGCCTTTATTCATGATCACGCGTTTTCTATGTAAATGTGCCATTAATTTTCGCGTGTGGTTTTTCCATGAATTGTATCATGTCAATTTGTCATCAGATCTTTATCTATATTTTCCTATCAGCTTATTTCTGAAGAATAACAAGAAACATTGCTAAATATTAAATATTTTACGTATGCGTCAACTACACATAAAAAATTAGCGACATAAATAACAACCAAGTTTGACTAATGGTCTCCGTAATCTTATCACCGAAGCCAAGTTTTCTCATACTCACGAATTTTTCATTTCAATCACATTAATGCAATGGAAGTTTGTTGGCAATTTATGGAGCTTTTTTCAATTCTATGTCAATTCTTTGACCACCGAAAGTCCTCGAGACATCACCCTGTTCCCTAGTCCAAATGTTAATTGGACCACTTTTGCATTTGGGGACTACAATTTCTGGCAACAACGCATGTACCATTAGTTTCTCTATGCACTTAAGAAATTAAAGCTCCTAATTGCAAAATGTAGTCCAATTATTTGTCATCATTGCACAGATTTTCATTGACTGCGCATAACGAAGAGAATTACAAGAGTTACCCTTTAGCTAGCTCGTAGTTTACCTTAACACTATCCCCAGAAGGTTTATATACTTATTTACACCATGAAATTAGTGGGGAATGATACGAACAGAAATGGACCAAGTTCATCAGAAAGGAACCAACCCCCAATAAATTGAAATTGAGAAACAGAGGTTTGAAGTTTTATTCCTGCATAAGGCTCAATGTAAAAAGTAAACTTTAACCTCACTTTTCATAAACATTTTTTAGTGTTCAGACTTTCATTTTCTGACAGGAGAAAATATACGGCTAGTGGAGTTCAGGATGTTCCTGAACTCAATTTTTTCGGAAATGAGGGTCGGTTCTTTCTGATAAACTCGGTCCAAATAAGCTTTGGTCGATTGTTGCTCAGCATCTGTCCGCCAAGTTTTTCGGCCCGTCAAAATGTATTGATAGATGGTCTTCAAGTCCCCCTGATTGAGCCGCGAACTTTTCTGTCGCTCCCCTCTCTTCCTCACTTAGAATAATCCTCGATGCTGTGGCACGTTCCAATCAAATGTTTTTACCACCGTTTCCCCTCAGTTTTCTCCGGATTTTCTAACGACGTGCGTGATTTTTCTGTTGCAGGAGGAGATCGGCGAGGCGTTCGAGAAATGGCCGGAGCGAAAGTGGCACAAGAAGCGTACGAACGAGGGCTGGAAAGAGAACCTTCGTAATGGACAGATCACGTTGGCCCCTCTGCCACCGGTCGCGACGCCCCCGCTGTCCCATCCCTTGCCGCCCCCGTCAGAGCCTCCCCCCGGCGGGCGCCTAACCCGCCTCCGCCCCCACCGACCCGGGCCCCTCGAAGAACGCCGCTCCCGCAACTACGTGCTCAACCCCAAGAGCAACTCCCTCCCCACCCGCAAGAAGCGACCTCCAGGCAACTACATCATCGATTTTGACCAAGAGGTCAGTATTTACCTCTGATTTGTTCTTTTTTCATAACCCATCAAAAATGACCAGAAGGTCAACCAATAATATGTTAAAAGATCCTCACCGTATAGATCTTGATTTTTCAATTTTCAATTTTCTTCGACCCGGGTCTGTATTTTGACCAAAGTGTAGACGGAATAGTCAAAAACATTGAGTCGAGTGGGAAAAAATTGAAATTCCAAAAATCAAGATTTTTGGGGTTGTTTCTGGAAGAAGTAAAACATATTATGCATGAATAGAAAGGTGAAATCCTTGAGAAGTGAGCTTTTGAAAAATTAGTCCGAAAAATCAGCTGAATCTGAAAGAAATACATAGGGTGATGCCAAAGTCCCGTACAACCAACATCAAGAACAGCTCCTGTTAAAATTAGACGAATTGAGACGGAGACTTGAACTTTTTTGAGTGCTCCTAGTTCAAAGGGAACGAATTTAGGGAACCTCCTAAAGTTTAAAGAGATCCATCTGAAAAGAGGCAAGAATTCTAGGGGTTAGAAGGGTGTTGTGGGACTTTCGAATCACCCTGTATAGTTTCGATTTTCCCTATTAGCTTCCATAAGAAATGAAAAATCGGTCGTCGGGTGTCTGATTGACTGAAAAAAGCACGGGAAGACCAGGTGGTCACGCATTTCTGCTATTCAGTGCGGGTTCTTCACTGAAAATAAAACTCCAGCCGTGAAAGCCGCACTTACGGGCTATTCTATAGACACACCGTCCGCGTTGCAGGCTCAGAGGCCAAAAATTCCGGGTTGAGCACCCGGAGTAGTCTAAGCTACGGCTCCAGCACTCGGACTCTCGGTCTTTGGCCTGGAACGGACTGTATATCTATATAGCCCGTAATGGAGATGTTGCATGTGTGAGGGATTTGCGATTTGACTGTTGATTTTTATGTAAAAGTTCGCGAGAAACACGATGGTGCCACTGGTTTTCTCTGAAATCAACTCCCAAGCGCGAAAAAAGCTCTCAAAGTGAGGCCAAAATGGAGGGGATATCCAGCCCTACCCTGAGAGTCCACCTCTATATCAAAACAAACTCTCCATGCCAGGAGCAAATAGGGAGCAAATACATTGACAGGGCTGACATTTCATTTGGGGACTCCAAAACTGAAAACACGGCAACCCTGCTAATGTATTTGCTTCCTATCTTTGCATGAAGAGCACATGAAGAGTTTGTTTTGATGTAGAGGTGGACTCTCAGGATAGGGCGGGATATCCCCTCCGCTTTGGCCTCACTTTGAGAGCTTTTTTTGCGCTTGGGAGTTGATTTCAGAGAAAACCAGTGGCATCATCGTGTTCCTCTCGAACTTTTACATAAGAAACAGCAGTCAAATCGCAAATTCCTCACACATGCAACATCACCATTTCTCTTTCAGTGTTGTCATATCTTTGCATTTCGAGAATATAACATGTAATTCGATTTGGGATTGTTCGGACAGGTGGAAGCGTGGTCGAACCTCCTCCTGGCGGACGTGCAGAGCATCGTCGAGAATGAGCTGAGGTCGGCGATCTCGGCCGAGCGAGCTTCGAGCGAGTCCGAGCCGGACTATGACGAGGTGTGCGTGACGTCCGACGAAGAGGTCGCCGCGGAGATGCGCTACAAGTCGGAGCGGGCCTCGCCGTCGCCCTCGGGCTCCCCCTCGCCGTCGGGGTCGCCCTCGCCCTCCATGTCGCCCACGGTGTCGCCCTCCACCTCGGACATATCGACGAGCAGCTCCGGGAGCGGCGCCGGCGGGCGGAAGCAGGGGCGCCTCGTCCGCAACTGCCGCCCCCAGCTCCCGACCTCCCACAAGGACGACCCCATCCTCACCAAGATCACAACCCTCGCCCACAGCCAAAGAACCAAGCCCAAGACCTCCCACGCCGCCCGCGCCACCACCTACGCTGACCGCTCCAGAACGGTAAGCACCCAAATTCTATTACTTCAGCGGATTCATTATTGAAATTGCTAGGCAAAGCGATAGACAAAGAAGACATAGGGAGCATGGAGTAATCCTATTGGTTGCAATTGTTAGTTATCACAGACTGAAGGGGAAAATGATGGATCAACTGTCGGCTCTCTTGTCGGTTGCCGTTGGTTAGTCTATTTCCGACCTCTTTTGTCCATTCGAACCATCCGCCTCCACCATTAGGATCTCGCCATAGCCCTTTTGTCATCTTTGTCCATAGCTTTTTCTATCAATAATTGGACGTATTTCTACTAAACAGACCTATGTGGAGGTGAGAAATATGGGGTGTGCTCGTCGAAGCTACATAAGAAGCAATGTAAAAGTGGGCGTGATTCTTTTTAAAGAATTGGAAAAGCGGGATTTTACATTCTATCAAACAGACCTATGTGCCAACTGAATGCGGGACTCATGAGCCGCGGGTATGGAAAGAGAGCGTTGTGGACAGGGCTCATGAGTTAAAGTGCCCCGACGACGATGTCCCCGCTTCCGGGGCCCCCGCGCACACCCTCGTTCGTTGCCGCTGACGTCACTGGCGCTTTATTATTCTCATTCACTCTTACGGCCAGAGAACTAACGAGCACACCCCATATTTCTCACCTCCACATAGGTCTGTTTGGTAGAAATACGTCCAATTGGCCTTTCATTGTTCGGTGCGGAATTCAGTGAGAAAAAGTAACCGAATTGTTTTGTAAGAACACGTTGTGACAAATATTTGTACGTTCAGTTATTATGTTTGGCTTAGTTTTCTTTGGGTTAAATCTACCGAATCATCGGGTTACATTGACCAACTCTTTGGGTTGAAAAATTGCAAACTCGTTAAAAAATCAGGTGCGAACCACCAGGATCGAACCTGGACCGCAGGGGGTTCCAATCCGTTAGTCACGCTCAAGCTACAACCGCGAAGTGATATCTAGAGAAAAAAAGAGTGCACTTTTTTAGGGAGACACTTTCTTCATCCGCAGGTGTCTCAGCGTAATCCACGGTTTCTGTCGATTTAACCAAGAATCTGGTCGATCAACCAAGTCTTTTGGGTTGCTCTGGCCAAAAATGAGTAGCACAAATTAACCCGAAGTAACAATGAACGTAAAATTTTAACTGTGCGCTCACAATGCATTACGGTATTCTGTAAATCCGGAAATTTCTGGAGTTTTTTCGTAAGAGATGGTAACGAGATTTGCCATCAGTCCTACAAACTGACTGATTGTGAGTTTAGCGGAGCATTCTGCCTTGAACTAAAACTGAGATAGAGAGGTGTGAGGTTTGATTTTTTTCCTGAGACTTGGTGAAAATAAGAACGTTCAAATTGAACTTACTCAGTCTTCATCAAACCATCGGTTACTTCGTTCCCGATTATTCTTGCTAATATTTACTCAGAATCATGGAAAGGGTTGTTTATTTTTTTACTTTCCTTTTGCATCCTCTTGTTTCTTTACTTTTTACTTTGGCGCAGTAACTTTTCGCGTCTAAGTCTCATAGTGGGAAGGAAATATGTTCCGTATTGTTGTAAATCGGAGCACTTGTAGTCACTTTCTGAAGTGCCGTAAATTCAGGAGTCGGGTAACTTGGTAGTGAAGATTACCTGCGATTGTAAGCATCTGTACCATTCGTTCATTTATTTATTTTCACTCAATTAAGCTCCTATCAATAAACACTTTCTTTCTAGTAGAAGTAGGAAGAACACAGATTAGCCCTTATCACGAGAGGCCCTTCAAAATTTGAATTACAAGTAAACCACATTTTCTACAATGTATCCTCGTCGCAAGATACGTTATAATACTTGGTCAAAGATTAGTCGCTCGCGTGTCGTAATAAAATCCCGGTAACATCGTACATAACTGTTTACGATTGCCGAGAAATAAGCCGAGGAGACTCGCGTTTCGAGATGATATCAACTCGTGAGAAAAGGGGTCGGCAAGGGTTCTCGACACTAATAGGTGTACGAGCTGTCAATACGATCGCTCCAAAAGCCTCGCCCGGAGTGGGCGTAACAAAGGCCCAGCCAGGGACCGGGACCAGGAACATTTGCATAGTAAAAATTAACAAGAAATAGAAACCTCTAATAGTATGAGGAAATGCAAATGAGCCCGGGAAGGAATATATTAGAAAACGAAAAGTGGACGCATGACCTATCAATTAATGTGAAAGTTGGGTTGTCCAGTTTCCTTTGAGCTTGCGTCATCGCGTCATTTGGTTTCGTCACCCTGGCTCGGAGCAGAGTGCGACTCCATGTCTGCTCCACCCGTTTCCGCCAACTCAACGGCGACGGCTCCCATGTTCGCCGCAATTATCTGCTCCGCTTCTGGAGCCTGTGATTGTTCTTCCTCACCCACTGCCGCTCGGTGGAAAGATTCAATCAGAGAGGTCGGCTATGAAATTTTTGATCAAAATTGCAAATTTTGATGTTTATTTCGTCACATTTCAAATTTTGAGGGGAGCCTCTGTAAGAAAATGTTTCAAGAAAACCAATGGAACCACTTTTAAAACCTCAAAGTTTTGTAAAAACGGAGTTGTGAGCTTTTAAAGGTTCCAAACTTTGTCCGACCTCTCCCGTTGACTCGGTCCATTGTGTGGCGCAGGAGACGCTCCAATTTACAACTCGGAATCAGTCTTTCCTCATGTGCTGTCAAGTTCTCGTTGGCGTGATCAGGGCACTTTGTATTGAAACGCGTTGATACGATCAGATGAGCGTGGCAAACAAGAACCGAAGCCCAACTCTGAAAAAATTGGGCGTCGAGTAATTTTCGAACCCGGCTGCCAACTCACTTTCTCCTGCTAAAAACTGCAGTGCATTAAAAAGTTTTTATTTTCGACTTATGGACTTAAAGTTCATTTTTGTATGGATTTTTAGCCGATGGATTTGTAGGAAAGTGAATCCACACCGGAAGGGAGATATTAAACAAATGTCAAAGCACTGGTTCTTCCTTTACTTTTTGTCGAAGATGGATCCATTCACGGAAAAACAGAGCAGGGGGCTGTTGGATGATTTGTACATTTCCAATTAATTGTGGCAGTACTCAAATTAATTGTAGTAGTGCCCCAATAAGTTAGGTTTCTAAGTAGAATATTCTCATTATAGGTCCGGCTCAAAATTTCTACCCTCCACTCGGGTGGGGTCCCCTTAAGTTAAGGGGACCCTACCCGATTAAGTAAGGGCCGAATTAAAGGGGTGGCCACATGGGACGCGGCCCATGGGGGGCAAAAATTTGCAATTTTTTAAAGTGTAAGTATAAAAACAAATTTGATTTAAAAGAACAAAATTACAAACGAGAAAAGGCGACAAAATCTCTCATTTCCTGAAAGTATAGTAATTTCTTATTTTGTCGTCTCTTAGTGATGCTAGAGGCAGCACCTTCAATTAGTCGAGTTAAGGGAGAGACCAAACACGCAATTTGGCCTTGAACGGCGCGACTTAGAGAGAAATGATAACGAAAACTTGAGATGAAAAGGAGAAGCCCTCGGCGCGGCGATCGGCATGTAACATATATTAGCGCCTACAAGACTGCACGAATACTCCACGCATTGCATCAAACACAGTGCGGTCACTGCGGTCAGCGTGAAACGGATAGCGCCTACAAGAATGCACGAATACTTCACGCATTGCGCCAAACACTGACCTCTTGAAGAATCGATACATTTCCATAGGTTTAAATGGAAAAAAGACAATGTTTCCAATTTGATGGATCTGCTAACGCTATGTCGTGTGGACAAGGCCTACCGCCTAAGGTAGGCTTCTGTGACCAAAAACTTCGGTTACCTGCAGGCTGATTATTTTCCGCGTCGATATCCGAGTCGATAAGTTAACGACTCACGGATAACGACTGAATTCTAACGACGTCCTTTAGCCGAGTGATTATTTACATCGAATTCCGCTGATCGTTACTCATCATTCGATAAGTTACCGTCGTTAAGTTAGCGATCTGGGATCCCAACGTTGCCGACGTGAGAGATAATAATCAACCAATCAGAGAGCGTTTATGATACAAGCAGCGCTGCAACTGCGCGGCGGCGTAAGTTGAAAACAACACATCTTTTTTCTTGACGTCACGCGGGTATGTTTTTAGGTTAGGTTAGCTTGCCGCGAATCGTTAGCTTAGAGGTTGCCGTGGAGCAACCTTTAACTTATCGACGGACTCAAATATCCCGCCACGGTTTAACGNATCACACGTGTTTTGGCGGACTGGCGTCGGCCATGATGAGTATTGCCGCCAATGGAACGACTCCTCTAACAAAATGTTCACCTGTACCGTAGTATCGTTTTTGAAGCGGGAAGCTCAAAAAATCGCAAATTTCTTACGCAGATTGTGAAGTTATGAGTGCATTTCAGACTTTGCCGATACGCTCATCGTGATTTTTGAGGCATTATCTGTAGGAAACAACTCTTAGTTTTGCTCTAGCAAAAGTTTGCAACAGGCCCATTAGTCGAGTTAAGGGAGAGACCAAACACGCAATTTGGCCTTGAACGGCGCGACGTAGAGAGAAATGATAACGAAAACTTGAGATGAAAAGGAGAAGCCCTCGGCGCGGCGATCGGCATGTAACATATATTAGCGCATACAAGACTGCACGAATACTCCACGCATTGCATCAAACACAGTGCGGTCACTGCGGTCAGCGTGAAACGGATAGCGCCTACAAGAATGCACGAATACTTCACGCATTGCGCCAAACACTGACCTCTTGAAGAATCGATACATTTCCATAGGTTTAAATGGAAAAAAGACAATGTTTCCAATTTGATGGATCTGCTAACGCTATGTCGTGTGGACAAGGCCTACCGCCGAAGGTAGGCTTCTGTGACCAAAAACTTCGGTTACCTGGAACTTTTGTGCTCCAAGTATGAACCAAACTCTCTTTCTTCATGGTATCCAGGAGCTTAACCCATTTAACAAGTCTGATTTTTGTTGGTTTTGTTTTGATTTCAGTTACCGCGCTCGTTGCCGAGTTTCCTGAGCAGCGGCGGCGGCGTGGTATCGGGGACGGGGACCGGGGGGCGGGTGGTGGGCGACGCGGAGACCCAGACCTCGCCGACGGTGTCGCGGTCCTCGAGCTCGACGTGGCTCTCGGAGGACTGCTCGGAGCTCTCCTCGGCCTCGGCCTCCGCCGACGACTACTCCACCGTCAACTCCACCAACGCCGACCCCGAGGAACACGAGGAGTCCGGCATCGGCACCGCCTCCCCCACCCCGCACCCCCACACCCACTCACATCTCCAGCCCCACCACCACCACCACCACCACCCGCACCGCATCAAGAACAAGTGTAAGTCATTTGCAGAATTTTCACCATTTTCGTTTTTTTTTTTTTAATTTTGGAAAAATTATCGGTTACGTCGCACATTTTATTATTTAACAGGGTTGCCACAGTCATAGAATACAAAGAAACAACTTAAAACGGGACTAAGGCCGCAAATAATAAATATAAAATAAAATGAAAAACCCTGAACCCTAGCTGGAACACCTGAGTAATCTCTGCTTCGATGTGCTTTGTTTTAAGTTGCGCCTACTCGTTTATTTTGGTTGCACTATCAGTCTCTCAATAAGAACGGTGAGGCTCATAGTGTCCTTCTTATAATTTTATTGTTTTTGCCGGTTGAAAATGCGGGTGTGATCCCTGCGAAACGTCCCGGGTTTTTTTATTTTATTTTATGTTTACTATTTGCGGCCTTAGTCTCGTTTTAAGTTGTTTCTTTATAAATGTTTCGAACCGATTAAGTTGTTTTTTCTGTCATAGAATACCGGGAAAACCTGGAAAATGTCAGGGAAAGACTGTTAGGTCATCTTTATTTGCTTCTAGAGCGGAAGAGCGGGTTTGACGTTTAGAATAACAATTATTGCCTGAAAACTATTTCTAATTATGCCTCTTTAACCATCTGCCGTATCCTAAATTGTCAGGGAATTTCACCAAAATTGGTCAGAGAGAACAGGAAAATATCAGAAAATTTCACTTTCTAAATTTTGTGGCAACCCTGTAAGAGGTTTCAGGACCTTTCGTCAACATTTTTTCGTCCTCGCACCTGTTCTGTCCAGTAGTTTACGTCCACGCGTAAAACAAGCAACAGTGACTTGGTCGAAGCGTAATATTTTAGTCCGTATGTAAAATTGTATTGACACTATCAAAATGAGAAATTGAGAGAGAAGGAGGTGTTGTTTTGGTAACTCATTTTTTAAATGAAATGTTACTTTCTTCTTTGGATTCATCTTTATAAATTGTCAATGGTAAATATTTGGTCTTATTTCTATCCTTAAAATTTTCGATGTACAATATACCTTATATATGTACAGGTACTTCTTTTTATTTATTTTTTTTTTTTTACGAAATTATTCCTTCATTTTGAAAACATTTACATTTTTTAAACGTGACAAATATTTGTAAAACCTCTTCCAAGCGATGGCATCGATATTATTCTCAATGAGCCGCAGTTCTATTAAAAGAAACTGTAAAAATGAAGAAAAGAGGGAAAAAACCAAGAAGCACGCAATCTTTGGTTTTAACCCATTTGTACATCGATTTTTTAGAGTAAAAAACGTCAAATTTTGAGGGTTTGGTTGCGCATACACCTCGCTGCAGCACAGTAAAACAGTAAAAGCAGAAAATGTAAAAGAAAAAATTAATACTTTGGAAATCGTCATTCAATTTGACACGGAACCACCAATATTTAAAAAACACACATTATGTTCTCCTTTGATACAGATTTTTTTCCCCAGCAATTTTTAATAGAATTATTCATGTAGAGTGTGCAAACATTTCAAAATCATGAGTTGAAAAACTCTGACTCTACGAGTATAAATATCATCAGAGCCAAACAGAGCGGAGTGGCGTGCTGCCAGCGTGAGAGGCTCACTGGCGCCTACAAACCTAAGTGGATACTCCACGCATTGCGGAATGCTTGAAGTATCCACTTAGGTTTGTAGGCGCCAATGCGCGTCTCGTGCTGGCTGCCCGTGCCCGCCTGTCGTGCGGCGGCGCTTGAAGCAACTATTTCACAACAGAGATGTTTGCACAGTATTATACGAAATTGAACCTATTAAGAATGAAATGCATCCTTTGAAAGTACAGATCTTTCCTCACAAAATAAATCAAGATACTTATCGTACACAGGATAAATCTAAGAGCCTTCAGCTGAGGTAAATCAAAAGGTTTACCCGGTTAGGTATAACGAGGTAGGAATTTCTTGAAAGATAATTAAGTCCTCTTGCACCAAAGAGGTGTCGAGAATCTTAGTGAATTTTGTCTCATAGAATTGACGCTCCCCAATTATTACCTAATATCTCAATTATATATTATTCTCCGTTGGACCAAAGGAAAACAATACATGGAAAAAACAAGCAAACCCTCATTCTTCCAAAATATTTTACATTTTCACCCAAAAACGTCGCGAGCAATAAATTGTCGTTTGTATTTACATGTGGACCAATTAACTTTGGGTCTCAGCTGGTACGTAGACCAAAACTCCCGTGCCGAAAAAACGCGTAAACGTAAGCCAACAGGAAGAACTGGGGCGAGTTTTAAATCGTTGACGAAATGTCTTATAACCCTGTAATGTGCTGGTTACACGCTCAAATTTCCATCAATTTCCGATCAAATGGTGACTGTTGCGCACCATCTACCATCAAATTTCTGCGGCATGCAAAAATTTGATGGTAGATGATGGAGCTGTGGGTGGCGCTCATCCTTCATCTGATTTCCACACAACCGTGCTTATTTCATGCTTATTCCAATCAACACGCTGTTTTAATCAATTTTACTCATCAATCTAGATATCTCTCGACCGCCATCTTGGTCATCATTCTGATCGGAATTTGACGGAAATTTGAGCGTGTAACCTAGAGTACATGTATAGCGAGAGTATGGACAGATGTGAAACTCCGAAAATCCATCACGCCTTCATCGATGCTTCTGCGAATAAAGTTAGGGCCCAGAAATGCAGTCAACCTATGAATTTCAATTACCCAGAACGATTTACTAATACTATTGTTAAGAACCGTCGTTTATAAAGCACGTATTAGACTCAGTTTTTGCATAAATTTACTCGTTTTTGCGGAAGAACACTCATTTCTGTACATTCTTAGCCATCTTAGTTAGAATTGGAATCTGCAGACTCTGCAGACTGGCAGTGAAATTTTGTGTGTCAGAAGTTTGTTAGAAGGATGACTGCACTTTTGGGCCCTAAGACCTCCATGAAGCGATCTGTCCATACTCTCGCTATACAGGTACTCTAGTGTAACCAGGCCTTAAGAGGCTACTGGAAAATCCATCTTTGTCTCTGATAGTCTGATTCGTCTTCTGATTGGTTGTGTGTCGTTGTTGCAGCACCCGTCGGTCAAAAATGCCGTCGGAAGGAGACCTGGGAGCGTCTTCGGCGACGGGGCTCGGGGTTGAAGCACTCGCAGCTGAACCTCCCGCGCGGCGACGTGTGGGTGCGACGGGAGGGGCGCGAGGGGCCCGGGCACAACGGGGCGCCCCCGTCCATGGTGGAGTCCTCGAGCGACCCCGACCTCCTCCACCCCCGCCCGCGCCCCCGCTCCCACTCGCGCCCCAAGCAGAGCCGCCCCCTCTGCCTCCCCCTGGGCCCCTCCCCGTCGCCCCTCAGCTCCAGCGAGGCCCTGCCCTCCCCCACCTCGGCCTCCCTCAAGCTCTCGGCCGAGCCCCTCGCCCCCGAGCTCTGCAGCAAGTCCTCCTCGGCGCCCCTCCTCATGAAGACCGGACCGCCCTCCAGCGGTGTCTCCAATCATAGTGACGAAGCCTCCAATAAAAGGGTGAGTTCAACTTATACATATTTATATTTCAAGCACTGGAAAAAAAAACACATTGGATCTAGAGTCCAGACTCTTAAAAACATCGACAAGAAAAAATACTCTTGATTCAATTAGATTTAAGCTTGAAACAAGAACCAAGCCTCTTAATTTGAGCTTGAATCAAAAGGAAATCCGCTCAAATTAAGAGGCTTGGTTCTTGATTTAAGCTTAAATCTGATTGAATCAAGAGTATTTTTTCTTGTCGATGTTTTTCAAAGTCTGGACTCTAGATCCAATGTGTTTTTTTTTTTTCCAGTGCAACATTATTTTTCTCCATTTAAACCTATGGAAATGTATCGATTTTTAGAGAGGACAGATGCCCGAGAAGGAATCGATTATTGAACATTGGTTTAAATGGAAGGAATCCGGTGTTGCCAATTTGCTGGATCCGCCTCTGTGTCTACCGTCTGTATAAACAGGAAAAAATCAGGAAATCTGATGCTATTAGGAAATAGCATGAAAATGCATGGAAAATCGGTCATGGATCAAGAAATGTCTAATGCGTCAAGCACGCTTCGACTGCATGCAGTTTAGCAATCGCAAAAGTAAAAATTTTGATTCATTAGATGCTTTTGTTCATACAATCACAGGAGTATCAATATATTCGCTTAAAATATCAGGAAATTTCATTTTAAATATCAGGAAAAATCAGGAAATCTGATGCTATTAGGAAATAGCATGAAAATGCATGGAAAATCGGTCATGGATCAAGAAATTTCTAATGCGTCAAGCACGCTTCGACTGCATGCAGTTTAGCAATCGCAAAAGTAAAANTTTTTTTTTTTTCCAGTGCAACATTATTTTTCTCCATTTAAACCTATGGAAATGTATCGATTTTTAGAGAGGACAGATGCCCGAGAAGGAATCGATTATTTAACATTGGTTTAAATGGAAGGAATCCGGTGTTGCCAATTTGCTGGATCCGCCTCGGTGTCTACCGTCTGTATAAACAGGAAAAAATCAGGAAATCTGATGCTATTAGGAAATAGCATGAAAATGCATGGAAAATCGGTCATGGATCAAGAAATTTCTAATGCGTCAAGCACGCTTCGACTGCATGCAGTTTAGCAATCGCAAAAGTAAAAATTTTGATTCATTAGATGCTTTTGTTCATACAATCACAGGAGTATCAATATATTCGCTTAAAATATCAGGAAATTTCATTTTAAATATCAGGAAAAATCAGGAAAATCCAAAATGTTTCTACCTGAAATTTGATCAGCAAGAGTGTGATGTGGTGCTCAATTTTTTACCTCATCTAACAGTCCATTTGGACTACATTTTGCAATTTTAAACTGCAATTTTTGGCTCAGTTTAAAAACAACGCATGCACCATTAGCTTCCCTATAGATTTATGTGTTTTTACGGATAAGGCAGAAATTGTAGCTCGTAATTACAAAATGTATTCCATTTGTAGTTGCCTGAACCTTTTTAGGTCTCATTTCCTACGATCTCCCAGCTGAGCAACATTCACTTTTAAATGCGACTTTTTCATTGCTGATTAGTCTTGTATAAAATGCCTCGGCTCAAAGATTTAAGGCCAAGAAGGAACGTGTCACAGTGTCACATGTACATGGTTAAGATTCCTACAAGTGTAGAGAGATTTGAGTAGAGGCACTCGACAAGGAAAATAAGAACGGATATTAAGAAGCGCTGAATGGTCCGTAAGTCGGTCCTTAGCCTGAGCTACGGCGCAGGTATCCTAGTAACGGTTAGAAGATCGGCAAATATGTTTCTAATCTTTGCTGAATGCCATTTCTCGTAGATTACGCCTTGATTTTATGTCTTTTTTTCTCCTCAGGTGTTGAAACAACCGAGATCTCAATCAGAGAAACAACTTTCCGGTGAGTTGATGTCTTTCGTTTTACTGCTTGTTCCTTGCTTGTGCTCGCAGCCTATTCGCAATCTTACCTTCTCATAAAGTAGCGCCTGGTGTTTGTTTGCCCGGGCTATTGTCTTAATGTTTGTTTGGAAAAGTTATTTCACCACATCCGTAATTTTGCACTGCAGTTGGCTCATCTAAAATGTGTTTGCGCTAGTCGTAATCATACTTTAGACGTACCGTTGCACCATATAACCCGTTGACATTTTTTTAGATCTCACCCGCTCTACAGAGTGAAGACGAAGGAAGTAAAAATTATAAATAATGTCCCTGCGAGGTTTTAGGTCACGAAAAATCCTCAACCCAATGATTCTCAATGAATCCAGGGTACAATTTATTTCCATCCTAGAAACTATCTACTTCAGCAACTGAACAGTGGCGTGGCGTGAATGATCGATTATCGATATTTTCTCATTTGTAGGTATGGTAAAGAATCGATTATTAAGGTGTTCGCTGCGAACACCCTGTCTATCGATCCTTTCCCATAGGTTTAAATGGCAAATCAATCGATAGATCACAAAGCACGCCACGCCACTGCAACTGAAAGTGCGCAATGAAATCAATTAAATGCTGACTGTTATAGCTCCGTGCGCATCTTTGAAACCCACGCATCGAAAATCATCCGGCGCTGGGTTTGATGGCTTTTGTTGCGTTGTCGCGCTCCGAGATTTATGCCTCGCTCGAGGATTTTCAAAATCGGCGGCCGTCTTTTTGAACGACCTGTTTGCTCGTTGAATTGATCAAAATTTCCCGCGCGTTGCCGCACGCACCCGAAGCGTGTGGGACGAAGGCGTGAAATTGAATTAATTCCATCCGAGATATGAGCGTGGCCTCCAAACCGCAAAGGAAGGGTGGCTGCGCTCTCGGCCTTTTCTTATCTCAATGGAACGGTTTATTTCTCCTGAGTAGAGCAGTCTCACATTGCTCGTAAAAATGATGGATTGCCTTAATTTTCTTGAGTAGAACACTTAAAACCGAGAGCGAAAGAAATGTTCTTGCTCTTTCCCTCGCAGCTCGTCTCACCCGAAAATTGAATTCTTGCACTTCTCGACTCGCACAATGTGCGCATCCGGCGACAATAAATTGGTCTCATTAACTCATTGTGAAATTTGGGCGCAATCTGTTAACTCTTGCTCACAGATGTTACCCCTTTTCCCTTCCCCTCGCCCCTCCGTGCTCTGATTACTGGGGCGTGACGCTGATAACAAGGAGGTGATTAATTTTAGGCCTTGAATTTCGTGGTCGTATTACTCGCGCCGAGCCTCCCAATTATCTCCTTATTTCAATCGCGAAAATGTTTTATCTCTCGTAGAAATTTAAAATCGCGTGTTTTTAAAGGGCAAAGGAAGTTAATAAACGTTTTATAAATGCGTTTTTTGGTAAAAATTGTCCTATATTTTATTTTAATTCTAATAACAACACGCAGAATGCGATTCTCTAGTTATTAAAGGAACGTGATGATTTTTCAAAAATATTTAAGAATTTCAATAATCAGTCCCCTGCGCACTCACTGTGCGTTGAAGAGTACGGTCATGGTGAGGTGTCATAGAGTGCTAGAAATCGCTGTGAGGGCGGCTTTTATGTATGTATGTTTTTATTAAGAATGATATTGTTATGTCCTTAAGATGATTTTGATAATCAATGATATTTGGAATCAATTATGTTTCTTCCTTCAGAAAATCACGGTCAAATCAGGGAAATCAGTGTCTGCTCAAAGACCGACCGTGCCATTTTCGGGTGCATTTTTGAATTGGGAAGACATAAGTTTTTATTTAAGTTGTAACGGAGAGTCAATAGATTCGTTTATCTTGTCTGTGGATTGATTATTGAAATTGCTAGACAAAGCTTTAGACAAAGAAGACACATGGAGAATAGAGCGATCCTATTGGTTGAAGTGGGTGGTTCTTATAGACTAAGAGGGTAAGACTAACTATCGGGTCTCCCGTGGGTTGCCGTTAGTTAGTCTATTACGTACGTCCTTTGAATGTTGCAACCACCCGCTTCTACCAATGGGATCCCACCATATCCTTTTTGTCTTCTTTGTCTATTGCTTTGTCCATCAATTTCAATAATCAGCCCGCTGTTCTAGAAGTGAACAGAGGAAGAGGGAGGAGGGGGGGTAGAGAGTATCTCTGTAAAAGAACACGTAGAGGAGACGTTGATAACAACACCCGGATGCAACTATTCGTGTTCGATGGAAGTGCGGGTTGCATGCGCAAAAATGTGAAGGTGCACCATACCGGCTTTCCCAACTTGTACAGCCCTGTGCGCTGCGCTGGCATGTCGCGTCCTATCAATTCAGTTGAATTAATGTGGGTCAAACGGAAATGGAACGAGACCAATTAGAGTGAAACGCCCGTGGCGACGCATGTAATGAGAAAAGGAATTAAACAGTTATTTCAACCGGAAGACTGAGCCGCACAGGTTGAATTCAGCCAAAGGCAGGAGAGTTTTTTTTGGGAACAGGAGCAGAATTAGCAGAAGTCCGCACGAAATTAAATTTTAATCAATTTTCACTCACTCGTGTCCTTTCCCATAAATAGAATTCAATGCTCCGAAATTTACCATCCGCTCCTGATCAATACTCACTTTCCGGGATTCTATTAGGTCAAACAAAAATTCTGAGGATGTACCTCGATGGCCAAAGTGCAACACCACGCATAACCATTGCGGTGTCTTAAAATTACGTTTTTTTTATTTCATTGGAAAGAAGCCAGTCAACTTTACTTAGTTTTTGCAAAATAGGTTGAGTTTACTGTACCTATTTCTCAACTCTTCACGGAAAAAAAATAGGGTAGTCAACACTACCAGCGGCTAGTTAAAAATGCGCCAGCTACCGTGCGGGAGTTGTCGTAACTACCGCACGGTAGCTGGCGCATTTTTAACCAGCCGCTGGTTGTGTCGACTACCCTATTTTTCTCCGTGTTTGGCTATCAGTCGCATCATCACTAATCTGGCGAATTTGAACACTGACTTCCAATTGGATTACATTTTACAATAAGGAACCAGTATTTCTGGCCCATTTTAGAAACAACATACATGCCATTGGTTTCCCCTTACATATATGTGCTTTATGAAGAGCCACGTAAGGTTCCATGCAAAATGTAATCCAATTGTAACTTTCAAGCTTTAAGGAGGATCAGTGGCGAGGCGTGAATGATCGATTATCGATATTTCCCCATTTGGAACTATGGTAAAGAATCGATTACTAAGATGTTCGTTGCGATTTGCGAACACCCTGTTTATCGATCCTTTTCCATAGGTTTAAATGGCAGATCAATCTATGCATCGCAAAGCACGCCACGCCACTGAGGAAGATAGTAGTGCAGTGTCTCATAAAACATATTGTTTCTGGGAGTTCCCTGCTCGTCCGAAGACAAAATAGCGTATGTAAAAGACTTTCAGTGGAAATATCTTATATTCCGAATAGAATATCAGGTTTTTTGAGGTCAGTACTCTGCCTCTACACGAACGATCACCCTAGGAGAAAATACTTAGGTCATAAGAGCATAATTTAGCTACCCATCTGCTCCGCGATAACGTATAGCGTAATAACATCCCGGTCGACGCACGTTTGCCTCTCAACGTCCACGCACGGCGCACAATGGAACGATTCGATCTAAGAAGTCGGACAAAATGTGGAGACTTAATAAGCTGAAAACTACGTTACCATGAGACTTGGAGGTTTTAAAAGCGGCTCCATTGGCTACATTGTAACATTTCACATAAATTGCACCCCCAGTAAACTTTAAAATTGGTATGTTGCAAACTTCAGTCAGAGCAAAAAAAGAATCGTGTCTTACGGGAAAGGGCCAAAAAATCGCGATAAACGCATCGAGGAAGTTTTAAATACACTCCTAATTTCACAATATCCGCAAGAAATATGCGTCTTTTTTCTAAAAGTTTTCCGATTCAAAAACGATACCTTGACCGGTGAAAATCTCGTGAGAGGCGCACAAGGATGCTACACAACTGCGCGCAAATCGTGAATTTTCATCAATGGAAGGAAAATGCCAACGCGAGACATGCCGGTTGATAATATCCCGTCTCGTCTCGTGTCTTTTGGCGGGTCGGCGTTGGCCATGTTGAATATTCACCGGGGAAAAAAACACATTGGATCTAGAGTCCTGACCCCTAAAAACATAGACAAGAAAAAGTACTCTTGATTCAATTAGAATCTTAGCTTAAATCAAGAACCAAGCCTCTTAAATTTAAGCGGATTTCGTTTTGATTCAAGCAAAAATCCGATTGAATCAAGAGTAGTTTTTCTTGTCAATGTTTTCAAGAGTCTGGACTCTAGATCCAATGTGTTTTTTCTCCAGTGAATTGTATGGCATCCTAGTGCGTAAGGGTTTGATGGATAGACTCCTCTCACGAAGTGTTCACCTGTGCCGTAGTATTGTTATTAAAGCAGGCAGCTTAAAAAGACGGAAATTTCTTACGCAGACTTTGAAATTAGGAGCGTAGTTTATACTATTCCGATGCGCCTCTTGTGATTTTTGAAACATTTTCTCAGACACAATTGTTTTTTGCCTCTAGCGCAAGTTTTCAACAGACCCATTTGACGGACTAAACCCTGAATTTAGCATATTTTGTCCAAAATTTAATGTCCGACCTCTTCTCATGGTTCGCCCCTCGTGCGGCGTGGCGCACCTCTGTTCGGCCCGAGTGGGATAGTGTGAAACTGGACACTGCGTAAGACGCAAAGTGGTTTACGCGTTCCGTCCCGTTGTCAATTTCGCACAGCACTTTCGTCAGATTCGCCACCGGCAACCGCGTTTTATTGTCGCCAATTTCACAGTTGCCGAATGGTGCGCATGACCAACCGTCCCGTAACGTCGAAGGAGGAAATAGTTCAGGGAATCGTCAACGTAGAGTCATTTCTCGTCCGTCGAAAGCAGCGAAAGTCCATCGCGTTCATTAGGGCTACATCTGAAACTCTTAAATTGACTTTTGTTCCTT